GTGGAGGGCCGGCGGGCGGTGAGGGCCGCGGCGAGGGAGGAGCGGCGTCCCCCGGGCCGCAGGTACGTCGCCCCCCGCGCGGCGGTGCGGGGTTCCTCCTGGGCCCCTCCCGGGCGGGATTCCGGCGTGGAGGACACATGTCTGTCCCCGGAGTCGCCTGGTCCTCGCGTCCCACGCCTCCGCGCTGCGTGTTCAACTCCTTCGCACCTAGGGATTGCTCCTGCTCCCTAGTCGCTGAAGCTGGTTTGCTCTTAACTCCAGCAGGGTTTCTACGGGATTCCTGAGAAAAGGAAAGTGAAACACGAAGAGGTGGAGGAACTTGAGTCCTTGCCCCTAGAGAACTTGCAGGAGGGGAAATGACACAACTCTGTTTTCATCTGCCCATTGGACGTCTGCGTTTGTAGCTGCCCCGTTAATTTTATTTGAAACTCATACACTCTTTAGAGAAGGAAAGAATGGAAGGAAAGCCAGGCAGCATTCTAAAATACATCAAATAAACTGATCTGTAGTTTTGCCAAGTTTTGTTAGCTAATGTGTTTTAAAGGTTGAGTGTCAGACCAGAAGCCCTAGTTGGAAGAAATAAGTTTTAGTGTTAAATACTAGTGTTTATGATGTGAGCAACATAGTGCTTGGAATTTAGTGAGGAAGCGCATACTCCCATGTGTTTACTTTCTGTTTCTGTTTCGTTTCCTTACTGTTTCTTTCCCTGAACCCCACTAGAAATGGAACCCCTAAAATGCCCCTCCTGGGCCTAAATTGGAATCTTCCTCAGCTGCCAAAAGTGTTGCTATTACACTCACCAAAGGGGACAGTGTTTTGTTTGTTTAGGGGTTTTTTTGCGCAGATCGGACTTGTAGAGATTCTCCAGTTTTCAGCTTCCCAAGTGCTGGGATTACAGGCATGTGCCACCATGCCCAGTCTCAGTCGCCCTCTTAGGGCACCCTGGGCCCCAGAATTGAACCTCCTACCTCTGCGTCTTCCTAAGCAGGCGCTTTAGTCCGCTAGGCTATTTGGCCAGACCAAGAGTGGTTTGAGACAAAGTTTTGCTATGTGGTTTTGAGTCAAAGCCTTGAACTCAGTATGTAACCCAGCCTGGCCTGGAACTGATTTTCCTGCCTCAGCCTGGCAAGTGCTGGGATTACAGGTATGTGTCTGTGAGCCCTGCTTAATTAAATTCTCTTTAGTCCTTTTTTTTTTTTTTTCAGTGAGTTTAAAATTATGATACTTTTATGAGTTTCTCTTAAATAGAGCTGAATCATCAACAAGTGATGTTTTAAAAGAAGTTTTGAAGTGAGAATCTACA